GGGAAAGAGAGAGACGACAACAGGAAGAGTGTGCGCGCGCGCGCGCGCCCATCGGTAGCACACGATGCACTTTCTGGTAAGCGTGTGCGAGCGAGAGCGCACACGCTGCGCCGAGACGCGACTGGGCTCCTTATCAACGGGCGCAAATACACTGCCGGACGCGCCGGGCGGCGGCGGCGGCCTCGTGAGAAGTAACGCGATTATCGTTGCCAGATCCACGCGGCTGGGATTCGCTCGATCGTGACCGCGCGCTTCCGTTCCGTTCGGGACACGACGCCTATTTAGACATTCGGCTAACGGAGAAGCGCCACGCCGTGGCCCACCAGCAGTCGGGCCTCTACGGTCGGAATTGAACGAAACCTGAGGCGTCAATGACCTCTGGGAGCTGCCTCAGCGAGCTGCTAGACACTTGGATTTTCGGAGGGTATTTTTGTATTTCAAGGATCGGGGGTGGCACCACTTGACGTTGGAATTTTGGCTTTCGAACCCCGGGGGTTACTACATACTGATTCGGGAAAGAAGGTCTTTTTGGGTTGCAGGCCTAGGGCTAGCTACCCAGTTTCTGGAAGGATTGTTCTGTTAAAAAATTCAATGATGATACTCTATTTCGATGGTGTGCTTCAATTGATAGCAGATATCGTTCTCACGCACTCGTCAAATAATTCAGTGTCAATGATCCCAGAAAGAAGGCACGTTGCGTTACTGTTGCGACACTAGGCGGTTTGATGAAACGGAATCGTGGTGTCGTTGAAGTACGTAGTAGGGGATAGGAGGCCTATGGATTTTGCTTGGACGGGTCTTGGTGTCGGACTTCAGATCACTCGGGCGATAAATGTTATTTTAAACTGTCTATTAGGGGGAGGAGGTACTCGGGTAAGTAGCGTCGGATGCTAGAGACGAGACTCTGGATATTTATCGAGTACTTGCAAACGATGGGTCGTGAGAAGGCGGACGATTATCGGGGGAACCGACCTGCACGATTAGGGTATTTCGAAACATCTTGTATGCCGTCGAATCGATCTATTTCCTAGCTTCGAGCTCTGGTCTTATCAGCGTCTCGAACGATTGGGAGCACTTCTGTTGGTAGCAAGAATTTCTCTTATACGGGCCACATTTTAACCCTTGCGTACTGTTAGGGACAATTTCACCCGAACTGAGATGTTAATTCTTAATTATATCATTTATCAGAGAAGCTTGTAATTATATTTTAACAATAGTAGTTTACATGTACAGTACATGTAAAAATACAGAAATTTATTTTCACATTTATTACAGATGTTCAATATGTCTTCCTTCCGTTTTCATATAAAACTCACATCTGCGGATCAGAGCTCGACGTACATTTTCAAATATTCCTTCCGTATCTCGTATTGCCTATTGTCGTACAGCCCTGAATCGATGTATCTTTAAATCAATTTATTCTGTTTACATTCGATATGTTGCGAAAAGACTCGCTTAGGATATAGAACTCTCACAAACACAAAAATTGATTTTACACCGAAAAAATTGAATTCAGGATTTATGTTGATTAGATATTTTTTACTCCTCACGGTGAATATTATAAGCCCCTAAAAATAACGATCAGTCTACAGGTAAGTATATTTCCGTAATTTATTGAACAGTGGACGAGGGTTAATTACTCCAACTATTGTCCATAGTAACACTGTAATTCGGTCGATTTAATTTACGACAGTGATGTTCCTTTCCATGAATAATAAAAAAGAAACAATCGCGGTTCCTATTTTGATCCGACCGCAACGTCCTGCTTTTCGACTGCTGCTTATCAGACTTGGGTTTTTTATCTGACGGTAGAAACCTGGAAACCGGGCGAGTGTTCATTAAAAAAGTTTACAAGCACTCACGGAAACGAACGGACGAAACAGACTGCAGAACACTCCAATGAGCATACGTACACATTCCCGAGAACACCGCGGACACTTCAAAGACAATTCGTCTTTCAGCCACAATCGCGCGTATAGAATACTTTGACGGAAATTTATTCGATTTGAAAAAAGCCAGCAGACACAGACGACACTGGTAACGAGCTGGTTTTAATGCACTGGTCTCAAAGATAAGCTTGTTGAATAAATTCTTCGCGATTTTGACAAAGGAAATTAAATTCTCATAAATAACGGTACATTTCCGTCAACGTGCGGTTTCCCTTATTTTCTCAAAACTCACACATTGAAGAAAGTGACTGTTTTTTTTTTAAGAGCCGACATATTTTTGAATGTAATTTATACAAAATAATGACTAGACATTACTAATCTAAATGAGAATTTTTCTAGCGTGAACGGTACAATACAAAACGCAGGACGTGGATGCAAAAAGTTTCGTAGAAACTTACAAAAAAATATCGATAAAGCATCGTTACACTCGTACAATAAATACTAAAGTTCGTTAAAACGACTGACTAAAATTGAAATCTCAAGTCAAGAAGAATTTATACGACATATTAATAACTTTTTTTAAATCATGGGTGAGGATAGCTCAACTGCCTGAGTTTTAATAACAGCGAATTTATTTCTCGTTGGCTTTCGCTCTTCCCCCTGTGCATAATTAAATCTCGTTTATCATACTCATTTTGCATCTTTATCTAGTTCCATTTTTTTTATTATTGCACAACTTTTAATTTCTGAAGCACATTCTGTACTAGGTTCAATACCAGCTTACTATGCTATACTGTCTTTTCCATTGTACATTTACATTTATTATCATCTATTCGATGCAATCGAAATTATCATCCTCCATGAAGTACAGTAGAGCATTCGATATCCGAACATCTATGCACGGGAAGAACACGTTTCAAATAGATTTTTGTTAACACTATCTGCACATGCGAATATTGTGTAATAAATAGTGATTTTTTGTTTTTATCAGTTTGCATAATCGAGTTATTACTGTACTTTCTTTGTTCAGAAAGTTTCTTTATCCGAACACTTATGCCTTCCTATTAGTTCGGAAACGGGAGACTCTAATGTACTTCCATTCCCAAAAGATGGCACAACGTGTTCGTTCGATGTCTATACAGGGTGAACCACGAATCGTGATCATTAGAGTTTACTCTGTTATTAGCAGTATGATCGAAAATGTTTTTATCAGGTATAGCATGGTTTCAAGAGAGCTTTCACATGATTGTAGCAAATTTGTTGTCAATTTTATTAATTTATTATTATTTTATATAATAATTAATATAATGTATGTAATGAAAAAATTAAGATAAAAGTTATGTTATGATACTTACCGAATTCATCTTGAAATCCTCTAACAGACAGGCGTAAAAAAATTATAGGTGTATTTGCAAAAAATTGAAGGTGACCTTGAAAAATCATGAAAAAGAAAAAGTTGACAAAAACTTTGCTATAATCACGTTAAAGCTCTCTTAAACCCATGCTATACCTGACAAAAACATTTTCGATCGGACTGCTAATAACAGAGTAGTTTCTACTGATCACGATTCGTGGTTCACCCTGTATACCGCACACCAAGAAAACTGTCACAAAAGTGGAAAGCACATAATATTTCAGCCAAAAGAAGAGAAACCGATTCATTACGTTTCATCTATTAAACAGCGTGACAATAGCACCATATCGCTCGAACTATTGGACTTGAACCTCCTCATTTTTCCGGATGGTGGATCTACATATTAAATTATATTTCACGGAATAAAATGAAAATGAAAAATCTCCAACCTGTCACACTATTCTTGCGGTTGTGCACTATATATTATTAATTGCAAACTAAAGGAAGGACTATAGAAGCTACCTGCTAACGCGTTGAAGATCAGACCTAGATGGCCGCGCATGAATGTCGTTAACGTGTCTAAGACGGGCTGTGACTCGGCCCGATAAGGTGTAGCAACGCGGTAAGAGGCCTAGCCGAGTCGAGAGGAGTGAGACAGAGAGACAGACCGAGGTCTGCGGGGGTGTAGGGGAGACGCAGAGGGGGCCTCGGGTCGAGAGGAGGGCTGGACAGCCTCCGATAAAGGGTCGTGCACCCCGGAGCGGCACGCGTGGCCGCCGCTATCCCCGTGTATCTGATTTGCTGCGACCAAACCGCGAGACGTGCGCACAGCGAATCGAATTGTTTACAAGTGACGTCGTCATGGTAATGTATAAATCTGGAGAACCGATCAGCCGGAACAGAACAAACGCAAAACGATTGCATTCCACGCGACGTACCATCGACGAGCAATCGCGACATATCTTTTGACATCCACTTCGATGGAATTTAATTTTTCACCGTGCCATACACGTGTGTCACCGAGTGTTCCCGTCTGATTTTGAAAGGTAACTCGCGAGGAGGTTTTCCCCGACGTTCGATCTGTATTTTTGCGTTGGCGACGTATACCGATGGAAACGTGGGAGAACGCTCGCGTGTCGGGTAAGTTAACGAGCGATGATAGTGGGAAACAAAGAAATTCTTTTTTTCATATCGTTGGCGATTTCATGCCGTGTCGGTGGGGTCTACCAGCTGGACGCTGACAAGGGGTATCGGTTTATTTACGGTGATAGTTTTCCTTAACGCTAGAACTATCAACAATTAACGTATATATGTATTTCCATTAGATCGATAAAAGCCACAGTTTTACGAAATTATACAGATTTATAAGCTAATCAATTTCTTCACTTATACACAGTGATGAAAAAAAGGATTCATAACTTGTAGGGTAGATTGTATTCGCCAAATGGTGAACAAACTTCTAATAATCATGGGTCGAAATGTTAATATTTTCAAAATTATAAGCAATTTTTTGTTTCGGTTAAGGGGATTGACTTTCTAGCTTCGGGAGTAATTCTTCATTGTACCGTATGGAGACAATGAAGAAAATTGTAAAAATACTAACAAAAAATTTCAGAAAACCTTCTGTAACCAGGAAAAAAAGGAATGATAAGCTAGTCAACTGTTTCCATACGGTAGGATAGCTCCCTAAGCTAGAGAGCTAGAAAGTCAATCCCCTAACCGAAACAAAAAATTCTTCATAACTTCGAAAACATTCATTCTATCTACTCTAGAATTTATGAACACCTATTTTCATCATCCTGTATCTTGTAGTAAAAATAGCGAAAAGTCTCGTAAAATGTACTGTTAACAACATTTCAATAATTTTTACAATAGTTTGCAAGCATGTCACTTTGATTGCATCGACAGTTCTAATGTTAGACGTCCTATCAGACCGCTGACAATGAAAAGGAAAACACTGTATTTTTTTCCTGATTCTCGAAAATTGTAATAAAGGAATGGCCATAATTCCTGATTCTGACATTGATGGAAGTCGATACCTTTAAATTGAACATAGTAATTGGATAATTAATCGATGTTTTATAATTGTATTGATAAATTATAATCGATTGCCCACGTGATGACGTCAACTCCGCTGATTACCGATGCGTATCAAAAGGCTAAGTAATGTAACTCCTCGGGACCTTGACAGGGGAACAAGAAAACGGAGGCTCCGATCAGTAATGTGCACTCACCATCTCTGGACATGCCGAGGCGTAGGCACTTTTGCAACCGACAGTACTGGCACCGGTTTCTGTTTACACGGTCGACCACGCAATTCTTGGCCCGTGGACATTGATAGTTAACGACCGACGACTGGGACCGCCTGAAGAAGCCTTTGCAGCCCTCGCAGGTGATCACACCATAATGGACGCCGCTGCTCTTGTCGCCGCACACCTTGCACGGGATTATTTCGATCTGGGCTGGAAAACACAAAGAAGCAGATTCTCTTTTAAGCCGAGTTGATACAGCTGATTGGATGATTTCTTACAAATCTGTCTCCTTTGTACATATTGCGTTAAGAAGAAGATTACGAAAAGATCGTTAATGTTCTTTCGTTTCGTAATGGCATCTGTAGAAATTGGTTTTAGTACTGTAAATGCCATTCGAGCCGTCACAGAAGTCAAAGTGATCAAATCAGTGGAAGAGAAAGTAGTAGCAATTGATTATGATATAAAATTTAGTTTTAAATATACAACAAAAAAAGGAGAGTCATATACTAGATTATTTGAATTTTGGTTTTCATGGCTCGGATTGACATAGTTTTATGGGTTGAAAAATATAAAATAGAATCACAATGAAATTGATCACTTTGACTCCCAAGCAGCTTGTTTATCAGTGAGTACCTCCACTATTTTTCAATAAGACTATCTTTATTGAAAGAATATAAAATATAATGGCCACACTATGTAACATGAAACAATAGCTTTTAAAATTAATATTTTTTATTATCACTTGTTGAAGATATATTTTGTCAAATACTATAATTTTTCGTTTCCTGTACCCAATTTTTTAAAAAAATGAGCACGTGAATGATATTACAGTAACAGAGATATTTTCTATTTTTAAGATTATTCATGTATGAAATATACAAGCTACGGTCAATTTTAGATCGGACCGATTGTTTTCGCGAAAACGAGTAATACATTGATCGTTTCGTCGTTTCGTCATAGCGGTACGTGTGTCAGAAAGTAGGTGTGGACCGCGTGGCAGCTTACTCCCGACTCGTCAAAGTTCATCACACCATTGGTCGTTCTCACATAGTATATTTATGGATAACCTTTCGATTGGAAGACAATACTAGACCGCGGTTACCATTGCGATACAACCGTGGCTGCGTTTAAATGCATCATGACCGGGTCCGCTAGAGTCTCTCTCGCCGAGAGATTTCGTATCGCCGTAATGGAGCGCGATAACGGGGCGATAAATTCATCGCGCTGTTTCTACTGGAAAATCAAGGCGAAAAAGAAGTGAGACGCTTTGGTACCATAAACACGATCGAATAGAAAGCCGTCTTTCATTCCCTAGTTCCTGTATTTTCTAATCGTGAATACGTCGATACATCAAAATTTTATAAATGGTGTCCTTGTTCTCTCCTAAATACGAAAACTGTAATTAAAAATGTCTTAACTTCCAACACTCCTCGAAGGATAAAATTAACAAGACATTGTAGTTTATAGAATTAAAAAACAAAAGTTTTCTTTCTCATTGACAAATTACCGATTATACAATTTCTATATAAGTACCTATATCTTCTAAATAAAATTTGTTTAATGAAGTAATATGCTATTCATTTTTAAAGAGTGTCCTCGAAGATCTTTGATTTTGCTGTTCTCATGGGACAATAATAAAATAAATGATCTGATGATTTATTCATCAGGTTCGATCGTTCTCGAGTACCTCGTATGGAATTGACTTGAAGCCTACGATCGTCCAAAACGGTGTTTTCTCGACTTGTAGCTTGAACCGGTGCTCTCGTTCTCGGCGTTTCCGGTGGCTGAGGGCTCGTACTGTCCGCCCCCCAACTTGGCCCACCGAATGTTGAGAGACTTCCCTCCATTTACGTTTCACACTCGCGTGTTTCATTTAAAATTCACTAATAACTCGTATTTGAACACATTTCGGTGGTATCTTAATTTAATCGGTTCCCTCTAATCATCTACGGATCACTCATAATTATTCACATTACACTTCTGTCTTATTTTCTACAGACCGGTAATTAAGGAAAATCGTCGCTAACAGCTTCAGCGGATGGTTTTCGTGGAATACTTTGTAGACTCGGGACGTCGAATCGATCGTTGGATCGTATATCAGGTGAACCATCGACTTTGAAACGGTTCTGCGCTATGTCCCGCGAAAGAAACGGGATACGATGTCCCCGAGAGACACGGGAACTGTTTCTTCCGCGGTCTGAAGAGGATCGTTCGTCGCGGAAAATTAGTGCTGACACGTAACCGATTCTCCCTTCTTCGATAGAGCCGCATGAGCGCAATGTACCTTTAGACTTTGCTTTCTCAAATACTTCGCCACGGAACTGTTCGAAACTTCGTGTAAAACTGTTTCAAATTACTTCAAACTTCTGTAAAAAAATATTATCTCCGTAAATCACGGTCTCAATTTTCCGTAAAAAAATTACGTTTACTCGTGTTTCCTCAATAGTTGAACCTAGTTCAAGAATATATTATTAAACGATCAGTTGAGCGTACTACTATTCGAGATTAAACATATTAATTTCAAGGCTCCCTAAAGTAATTTCCAGACGAGGCCTATTTATACGCCCTATAACCTGGATTTCGACCAAGAATACACCCCGATCCCACCCCGAAGCAACCCTAAATCATTCCCGGGGTTTATGCCCAGAGCGCGCGGCATCATCGGCGGAGAGCACGCGACAAATTCCGTCTCGAGCTAAAACCTCTCTCCCATTTTGCTCATCGATCTCCGGTCTCCTCCGTTCACGACGAGACGATCTATCGCTACGGGTAGCAATCAAAATAATACACCCCGGGGGCCGAATGGAGTATTCGTGCAATATCGGGAAAACGCGTGAAAACGAACAGCGATGAAACACCAGAGAAAGAGATAGGTACACAGAGAGAGAGAGAGAGAGAGGGACAACAGAAATACGAAACGTCAGAGGGGAAAGGAGAGAAAGAGAAGAAATGCGGCTGTTGCAGTAGCTCTCCCGTTGCCCTCTATTTTCGTTCTCAGCTCGGTAACGCCGTGTCTATATTGCGCCTGCGAGGGCGCTAAAGCGAGAGAGAAGCAAGAGGGTGCGTGTCAGTTGAACAGAGACGACAAGACTGCCCAAAGAAAGAAACAGCGACGATGTGCGCGCGCGCACTCGTCTATGCATCGCTCTCGTACACAGGCCGCGGCCCGACTACTGTTTCGGAGCGAAGAGGATTCGGTGCGCGGCTCGGAGCGGCTCTGCTATATCGTGGTTCTCTCGTCCGACAACTCTAGCGCCACGAGTAGCGTCGAGGCGCTTGCACCATACGGTCGAACATTACATAACCGAGAACGATGAACCCAGAGTACAGTCACCCGGCACGCTCGCATCTTTGACGTGCGTCATGCCGTGTTGCCTCGAGGAGAGCGCAGAACGCCGGGCTATTATACCCCCCGGAACCACCCGAAATCGAAGCCACTTTTGCGCGTTATGCCCCTCCCCCCCCCTTGCCACCTATTGTTCAGGCGTGCATCGTTGCGTTTTTGTTTCGTTCGCCGCCGCGACCGCAAACATCTACCCAGTGTAAATACACGCGATCTGACAAAGCGACTACACCGTTTGCTAAATTATGGACACAGAGGTTCCCCCCTGAAGCTCGATCTCCTAACCTGCTGAAGCTGTTTGGACCAAGTCCAGAGACATGTATAGAAAGGGACGATCAAATCCTCGTGGATAAGCAGAGATTTTTCCTCCGTCCAGGTCGAGGCGTAGTTCGGGATGTTATCGTTCGATCGAGAAACGTTTCTACATACGGGCGAACGATGTCGAGAGATTAGAGCTCAGTTATCGTACTCCGAGTCCGCTGGATCGTGGGACGCGTCTCGGAGAATAGTTCGAGTGACCGTCGTCTGATCCCTTGACGGAAATAGATAAACACTTGCGAAATATCGTTCGGAACGGACGTATCTGGAGTTTGTCGAAAGTTTCTTATGGAAATGCAATCGATTACCTTGAGAGGATGAAGAAATCTTCCAGTACCCTAAGAATCGACTACCATAAGAATCCAATACCTTGGAATTTCAATTATGGAACTAGACGATGAATCAGGGGAAAAAGGTTTGCTGAAAGGGATCTGATTCGTGGCCTCGTCTATAAATCCGGGGCAAGTTCGTCGCAATTGTTTCTTATCGAGTGTCCCCTCTTCGTGCAAGTTCGATGCTCGAAGAGATTCTCCGCGGTGGATAAATAAATCGAGCTCGACAGCGAGAAGATACCGCTACCTACGGACCCGGCGAAGTCGAAACCAGTTAATCACGCAGCTCCGTGAGTTCCCACCCGTGCGGCTGCCTTAAGGTTTTCCAGACAGACACAGAAATTGTCGGCGTCGAGTAATAGGAAAAGATAGATCGACCTAGAGGTAGATGGTATATAGAAGCGAATAGCGCAAAGACTGTAGCACGTATACCCGAAACTCCCGAAACTGAAGCAGCATGTTTGCTGCTTTGAAGTAGTCGGTGGAAAATTTTAGGACACAAATCCGCGAGCAACATGCCGATGCTAACATACCCGGAAATAACGAAATTCGAACGACTTCCTTGCCCACCGTTCGCCTCGGACCTCTTCCATCGGAGATAACTCCGAGGCGAGGGAGAAGGACTTGAAAGCGACGAACGGAGAACGGTGCTGGCGTGTCGTGAGATTTTATGACGGAAATGAGAGGATCGAAACACACGAGATGCTGGGGTCTGAAGAACCCGTTATATGTGTCTATCAACGGTCGTCTCCTAAAAGTTTCTAATTCCGGACACTTCGATGCGCCCGATAAAACCCGAGGCTGTTTGAATCAATGGAAATGTAAAACGATACCAAGATGCTCCAAGTGGAGTTTAAACCTGGCGACAATTCACCTGGTCCGATAAACATCTGACCGGGTGTTCGTTATCTCAGAAGTGAAATCGATACACTACATCGGTATGTCGAACAAATACACTAGAAATGGAATAATCTGGAAACTCTTCAACTGCGCTTAAAATGCTTGCTATCGAATAAAACCTGGTCTATACAGAGATAACAGTAGATCGGA